GTTCAACATTACCTAGACTTTATCTGGAGCCAAAATCCCCCAAACCAATTTTACCATTGGCTTTGTTTGATTTATCTATACTTAAACATGTGATTATATATATATATCATGGCTTAGGACAGAGGTGGACAATACAGGACCTGTGGGCCTTTTAAGAGCCGAGGTGGCGCAGTGGTTAAATGCAGCACTGCAGGATACTTCAGCTGACTGCAGTTCAGCAGTTCGGCTGTTCAAATCTCACCGGCTCAGGGTTGACTCAGCCTTCCATCCTTCTGAGGTGAGTAAAATGAGGACCCGGATTGTTGGGGGCAATATGCTGACTATGTAAATCGCTTAGAGAGGGCTGAAAGCCCTATGAAGCGGTATATAAGTCTAACTGCTATTGCTATTGCTATTGATATGATCTCTGAGGCCATAGAATGTGGTATTACAGCCGGCCTTAAATACAGGTCTTCTAATTGTTCTGCTTCTCGCAGGTCTGCTTCTTCCTCTAGTTCCAGGCACAGGGATGGTGATCTCTCGGCTTCGTCTTCACATGAGCTACCTGGCACTTCCAATCAACCATCGGTCTTCGGAGAAGAGGAACACCCTGCAAGAGATCAGATCTCTCAAAGGATGAGGGCCTACCTCCTGACCCTCCTCCATTTGTTAGTTTGTTTAAACATGCAGTTTTTCGTTCTCTCCTTTTTAAGGCCAAAAAGATCGCAGGCATTCCCTCTCCAAAGGCACCTCAGAGTTCAGAAGCTGACAAGGCTGACACCACTGACCCACTCTTCATCCAGCCTACAGTGGAAGAGGAGATGATCCCATCACCACGGTTCTTCATAGACATTGTCCAGAATCAATGGGCTTCTCCAGGTACCGGAACCCTCCCCAATACCTCGGACAAGTGCCTGTATAATGTCACTCCAAGGCTTTGGAGGTAACTTCTATTGATTTGCCTATAATTGCCCTTTCCTCTCCCAACGCAGCCTCAGCAGCTCCGGAGGAAGCTGTGTGACCTGAGGACAAGAGAATAGAACAAACTCTGGTCAAGGGTCTCCAGGCCTGAGCTTGGACCGTTAGAGCGGGTACCTCAGCTTCCTTCTTTAGTCGCTTCGCTCTTCTGTGGCTGAGACAACTTCAGGCTTGCCTTCCGGCCAGGGATTCTAGGGCTCACAGTGACATTAACAAAATTAAGGCAGCCCTGGAATACAAAGCAGATGCTTCCTTGGACGTGGCCCGCTTTGCTTCCAAGTCCATTGCATCTTCCATCTCCACCCGCCGGCTTCTCTGGTTAAAACAGTAGCAGGCTGAACCGCGGGCCAAGTGGAGACTTGCCTCCTCCCCCTATTCTCCATCCCTTCTCTTTGGCCCTCCATTAGAATCCCTTCTGGTAGAGTCCAAGGATAAGAGGAAGGTTCTGCAACCAGCCACCAAAAAGCAGGAAGGTTGGAACCAATCTTTTTACCGCAGGCAGCCCTTTCGGAACCAAGACGGGAGTGCTTCCAACTCCCGTTCCCAAAGGCAGGCCCCTCCCAAACAGGCCCCCTCCTTCTCCAACAGATTAGGCAGGAACAAACAGAGATTCCAGCCCAGAAAGTCTTTCAGAGACAATTCCAATCATTCCTTTAAGAGGCAGAAGGGACTGCCTGTAGAATGTCCCAATAGGGGGGCATCTAGTGGCCTTTGCGGATCGTTGGGATGACATCATCAACGACGCGTGCGTCAGGTCCACAATCTGATTCGGCCTTCTCCTGGATTTGCGCTCCAGCCCTCCAAACCACTTTGTCTCGTGTCCGATCTCCAGGGACCCTTAAAAAAGGCTCCTGGTAGAGCAAGCCGTTCAACATCTACTCCAGATTCGGGCCATTCAACCTGTGCCTCCAGGTCAGGAAGGAGAAGGGTTTTATTCTCGTCTGTTTATCGTGCCAAAGTCTTCAGGATGCTGGAGGGCAATCCTCAATCTAAATTTTTTTAATCAATTCATCAGATACAGGAGATTCAAGATGCACTCTCACCTATCAATTCTGGAGAGTGTTCGCAGACACGTTCTCCTCACATCAGTGGATCTTACGGAGGCTTACTTCCACGTGCCAATTCACAGGCAGAAAGGCGGTTTCTCCACTTTGTGTATGCGGGCCTCCACTTCCAATATCAGGCCCT